GAAAGGTTTTCCATTACCATGCTAACAGCAGTGTGGTTTCTATAAAACCAAACTATGTTTATAGAAACAACAGGTTGCATCTATAAAAATTGTTATTTTAGTATCATTAGGATATTGTTATAGTTTGATTAATATTTTAAATTAGTGTTTTATCTTTATATTTTCCATGTTGATATTTATTGTAGTTAAAGTTTTTAAATAATTTTTATTATATTTATTTCTATTATATATATATATATATAGAGAGAGAGAGAGAGAGAGAGAGAGTTTTTGTCATTTGTAATAATTTCTATAATATTTTATTTCAGCTAAAAAATATCTTTTTAATTTTCAGGTAAAGTTTAATTAAGTCTATTTCAAGAAATGAAATGTTTTTTTTTTTAATGGTTTTAATTAACTATAATATCCCTGCAACATTTAGGCCAAAAATAAGTGAATTCCCTTACTTGCCTTTACTTAGTGTAAATCTAAATTTCCACTAAAATATTATAGTTATTGTAGTTTATTAACCATTTTAAAACTTTTGTCCCAATATTATTGGTAGACAACGTAGTAGAGAGACAGAAAATCGAGAAAGAGGATCAAGACCAAGTCCAGTTTTCCCATAACCACCACAGTTCATGTCAAATAACTCACACTGAAAGTGACTTATATAGGGAGTAAAGTAAAAAATGTATGTCCTATATTTCATTATGACTTGTAATATTGCTGGGATAATTTATAGCTTCAGTGTGATTTCCATCCAAAGATGATTCTTGCTTAATGACACTGAAGGTGCAGATTTGATTATCTTGGGTCAGAAAATGAGGCTTGATAATAGGCCTGGTTCAGTGGTTTGCTTCTCTACTCTAAGGGTTAAAGATAGTAATACTCCTTGACTGCTTCATCATCTTAAAGATCCTCATTTAAAATTGTCACTAAAAACGAAAAAAGCCTGATGAAGCATGCCTAAACTAGATTAAGCTGACTTCCTAAAGCCTATTCTCCCGTTTCCTCTAGAGCCCCAGTCTCATTCCTGAACGTCATTTGAAGGTTTTTTGAAGTTCTGCTTTGGAGAACAAGTTGTAGCGTGATTTTAAAGAGTCTGGGCAGGAGTGAAGTATACTCACATGCTCAGATGACTTTTTGTCATCGTCTTCTGGATTGCAATACGGTCTCTTAACCACATGAACACCAGAGATCATTATAGTAAATCTCTGACTTAAGACTATATGGGAAGCGCCTCCTCACGACTGTAACTTTTCTAAGGCTCGTTCGTGAATGAAAATGATACACTTCTCTCCGGTTGCCTAGCAATCTCACAACATTGCAATGCCCTTATAACTACAAAGGCATCTCAAATATCCGTGCCCCTTATTGTGTCTGGAGATCACGTGACTTTGCGGGTGGAAAAGGTCAGTTTGAAACAGGGGCCAAAGTGTGTGATTAGAATCAAGCTGTAGGTTGCCTTCTGGCCATACGTCTGATCAGATCAAGCTTGAGAATAATGCACGTAGAAAAGACAGAGCAAACTGATAACTCACAACCATGCCTTTCCACATAAACAACAGCTGTGCACTACAGATTGGCTTTATGAAAATAGCTCCCTTTTTTGGCGCTTAAAATGTCAATCTGATCGCTTGAATTGCTTGAATTTCCTTGGATTTTCTAGTACTAAAATGCTTGTGTAAACAACAATTAAAATAAACAACTGGCCATTAGTGTCACCATAAATCCTCTATGCTTGTTAAAATTTCCCAAAAATAACCTAGCTTTATAGAACTCGATTTCAGTTTGAATGAATTGAAGGAAATTCATTCATATTTACACCAGGCACGCCGCCGCAACACACGATAAAATGCATTTTTTCCATGTCAATGTGACCTTTGTAGCCATACTGAAGGCGAAAATGGATAGTTTACCTCAGATCTTGGAAATAAATGAAAGGAAACATAATTGTTTAAACTGTGAAGTCAATGTGAACCAACAAGTGTGTTCCATGACAAAGATTGCATCAGTCACTCAGTATGTATTTTTAATCATTTTAAAATGGTTTAATATTTAGGCCTATGAATTATACTGCCTTTATGTGCTATCGGAATTAATGTAAAACAAAATTTATTTGACTGAAATTCTGAATCGTCAGCAGGATGACTAGCTAGGCCTATGACTATCGCTACATTTTATTCAAAATCTAATCAATGTTGGTTGAATATCTTCAATACATTTAGGTTTTACAGTTTTTCTCGATTGCTTAAACACATTTCTTGAAATTATGCCTCTTTTTTGCGAAATCCATGACTTCTAACTCAATTCCCCAAACTTCCTATTCAGGTCAAAATGAAGCTCTCCACTCAAAACAACTCAGTCTTGCTGACAAACCAAACTTTGCTCTCAGACATGACACACAAACCCTCAAAAACACACACTACAACACAGTCTTACACACTGATTAGATGTGACTGATTAGATGAATTCAAAACAATAGGCAAAAACCGGTAATAAGTGCTGCTTGTGGTACTCCCCAAGTGTTTTATTCCTTAATTTAATGTACTGCAGAAGAGTATGTGCATTTCTCAAAACAATTCGTACAAACAGCACCACACAATGGATTTCCTGCAAAGGCCTGTAACTTACTCAAAATCTTTAGTTCATCTCTCAGAAGTAAGTATTTGTCAGTGAACATATCAGTGCCATCAGAATGAAAAGTCCTTGTGTCATTGTTCACAAGCAAGATGCTTAGTCATGTTGTCAATATAACACTGCATTCTGTATTAAGTATTACCTGATGTAAACTATGGCAACAGTTTGGATGACAGTTATTGTACTGAAATGCAGAAGGCTGCACTTCTTATGTATGCCATATATCCATTTCAAAAGTACAAATTTACACATTACTGTATGTGGGATATTGATTGAAAAAGACTGGATATATGATTCACAGTTACACTTTTACTAGTGATCTGACCAAAAAATAAAAATAAAAAACACATTACAACGTCATTGTGGAATAGAAAAGAAAAAGAAATATGGGCACAAAGGTGAAAATAAAATTGAAAAAGTCTATTGTCAGAATTTGTAACTCTTGTGTTGTCCTCTGTCTATATATGATTTCCAATTGAAGGTTCATGAGATGTACCTTTGAGCTATTTCAGAGAACTGGTTTGTCATTGGTTGATCTATATTCTCTTCATTAGTGAAAGTCATCACTTGAACAATGGCAAATTTATGAAAAGTCTAGAAATGTGTAGAAAATATGCTTGACAGTTTATGACAACTAGATCAACCATTTTGCATTTACCGTAATGACTTATACGATGAACTAATGACTTGAGGTTTTGAGGGGTAAGACTATAGCACAGAGAACTATATAATACATTTTGAGCAACATGACAATAGCAACTGATAATGTAGGAAACCGCAGACAAATGTACATAATCAATTGCATGAATGTAAGCAGTCGCAACTTGTTCACAAGAATGAGAAACTTTTTTATAGTTTAGGGAAATGGGTGTGCTGTTTTTTTTAAAATGGCGTTGAAATTTTAGCTCAAAAGCCTGGTTATAGTGTTTTAGCAATCGAAAAAAACGGTAATAAGATTTCCTTAAGAAATAGGCAAGAATAAACCTGGTGTCCTCGATGATTCTCTTTTCGCCAACAAAGCACTTGAACACCACAAACTAGGGATGTAACGGTTTGAAAATTTCTTATCACGATTATAGTGACCAAAATTATCACGGTTATCGGTATTATCACGGTATTGTTCAAATGTGCTGGAGATGTTAAAAAAGTACAGACACATAAATCACTTCACCAAGTTTTATATTTAAAAATCAACAAACAACAAATAAAATCACTTTTTGTTTGCATAATCACTAAAACAATAACATTACCAATGATGTTCGGATTTTAAATGACAACTAGACTGACAACAGTTTAATAGCTGAAATAGTTGAAATATCTCATGTAAAACCTCCCAGATTTTCCGCCCTGTTTTCACTCAAAACGAAACTACCCTGCATGCTGTGTGCACGTGAGACTGTTACTTAAAAACTGTGCTTTATGCTGAACAGTATTTATTTATCGCGAGTTGTTCAAATCGTGGCAATCTAATACAGTTTTAATGATAATTAAAAGATGAAACGGTAATACTAACCGTGGGCAATTTTATCATGATTTATCGTCAAACTGGTAATCGTTACATCCCTACAACAAACTCGTAATTACGCCTTCAGAAGTGGGAAGTAGGAAATTTCTGAAGCATAAGATTATGTACTTGTCCATTTCATTCTGAGTGCTCATGGAAAGAGCCCGTAAAAATTTTCTTCTGATTGGCTGTGATTTTTTAAACACATCCTGTTAGTACATCATGAAATAAAAACGATTAAAAACAACACCATTTTAGCTATAAAAAATAAATAGATAAAAAAGCTCTCTCACCATAGTATGATATGTAAATATGCTACACATTTAAAGTCAAGGAAGTGCATTTTCTGAGAATAACAGTCAAGATGTATTACTGAGCTAACCGTGGGCAATTTTATCATGATTTATCGTCAAACTGGTAATCGTTACATCCCTACAACAAACTCGTAATTACGCCTTCAGAAGTGGGAAGTAGGAAATTTCTGAAGCATAAGATTATGTACTTGTCCATTTCATTCTGAGTGCTCGTGGAAAGAGCCCGTAAAAATTTTCTTCTGATTGGCTGTGATTTTTTAAACACATCCTGTTAGTACATCATGAAATAAAAACGATTAAAAACAACACCATTTTAGCTATAAAAAATAAATAGATAAAAAAGCTCTCTCACCATAGTATGATATGTAAATATGCTACACATTTAAAGTCAAGGAAGTGCATTTTCTGAGAATAACAGTCAAGATGTATTACTGAGGATGCGAACCATGACTAGTTTCCTGTTTCAAAACGTCGGAAGTGTTGTAGAGACTGTCTGCCGATAACTAAAAATTAAGACTAAAAATACTGAAAAGAGGGTCAAATGGAAAGTGGCTCGTATCATGGGAAACGAGGTTTGGTATTTCAATTTTTTCATCAGTAAGGCGTTTTCAGAGTATTGAGAAGATATGCTTAATATGCTTACTTTTAAATGCAGCCCTGGTGTAAAGTTATGTCACAAAACTCTTTTAGAGATGTAGAGCATAAATCGTTACTATTTGTATTACTACTAAATATTTATTTAGTTGAAAAAGAACTGCTTAACTTTGAGTAGCGTGAATACCACATGAATAGGTTATTAGACAGTATAAAATAAAATTAATTAACTACCAAAATAAATACATTTTAAAATATACTGAAATAGAAAACCGTTCTTTTAAATTAGAATAATATTTTATGATCAAAATAAATGTCTTGATTAGCAAAAGAGACTTCTTTCAAATCTTAAATATGGACGACAACACATTTAGCAAAAAAAGATATCTGTTGGGTTTAATATATTGAAACAAAAGATATATTGTTTAAAAAAGTATTTGGACACTTCTAGAATCATTTGAAAAGCACAAGCATTATTTTTGCACTATTATTTGTTTGTCCCTCGGTTTGATATGTGATCAATACCGTAACATTAAAGGGATAGTTCACCCAAAAATGAAAATTTGATGTTTATCTGCTTACCCCTAGGGCATCCAAGATGTAGGTGACTTTGTTTCTTCAGTAGAACACAAACGAAGATTTTTAACTCACTAAGTATCCTAAAGTGTTCAGATACTGTTTTTGATCGTATATAAGCAAATAAGTAAACTCCTTAAATCAATACAACAAAAAGGACAAACATAATTAAATAAATTGAATTGATTAGAGCAGCATGCCTTGAATACAAGAATTTCATAACATTTACTGCAGCCACTACAGGATGCACTTCCTCGGCCCAACCTGCTTCCCTAAATAGACACTGCAGCTTTGCCAAATTATTTCAAGTAATGACTTTTTTATGGTTTAAAAAAAAAGTTTTAAATAAGAACCCTGTCTGAGACATGTAATTGCAGTGATTTTTAAAAACTTTTATTTTAACATTCATCTCATAAACATCCATGTCAAGATTTGTGTTGTAGCACTGAGTGTGTGTGCTTTTCTTGGTGAACAGGGGCTGCACAGACATTCTCTGTTGTATCCTGTTCATCTTGGCCTTGCTGGGCTACTTTGCAGTTGGGATTCTGGGTACATTTCAGTCTATTCATTTTCACATTTTTATGCACAGTGCTGCTAAATGTAGATGGCAGAAAGCATTAAACCGTGTCCATTTCAGAGGACAAGTTATTGTCTTTCCACACTGACAGCGCTGTATCTTTTGTTCCAGCATGGTCTCAGGGTGACCCTCGGAAAGTGCTTTACCCAACAGACAGTAAGGGTCAGTTTTGTGGACAGGTCGGCTCCCCACTTGAGTGAGTAAAGCTGTTTCTTTGAAAACTGTGTTTCACTTTGCCATCACAATAGACTTTAAATGCAGTTCTGTGGTTAAATTGTTAAATAGGTTGTTACTCAGATGTATCTCAGACATGACTGTTCATTTTTCCTGAATAACCAGGAAGAAGCCCCTGCTGTTCTACTTCAACATCTTGAAGTGTGCCAGTCCTCTGGTCCTGCTGGAGTTTCAGTGTCCCACCACGCAGGTTCGGTTAACCTCTTTTTGCAGTACCTTATGTATCTATAGTGTTTGTCACACACATTTGCAATACAGAATGTTACAGGTGTTTTTATGTTCATTTGACAGATCTGTGTGGAGAGATGTCCCGATAAATTCATGACTTTAGTTAAAGCTTTACGAAAGGAAGATGATAGGGAATACTACAAGCAATTCTGCAAAGAAGGAGTTGACATGACCAAGGTGAGTTCTGGACAGGAAAGAAAACATTTTTAAGATATCATGATAAAAATGATTACAGTAGATAGCATTTTGATCACAGTGCCCACCCCTAGTTTTCGTACAGTGGTTTAAGGTTTAGAATAGCAACCATAAAAATAACCATTTGTACAGCAGCTGTGAAAACGCATCAATTTCCAGGTCCTTGAGCAACATGCTTAAAGGGATAGTTCACCCAAAAATGAAAATTTGAGGTTTATCTGCTTACCCCCAGGGCATCCAATATGTAGGTGACTTTGTTTTTTCATTAGAACACAAACAAAGATTTTTAACACAAACCGTTGCAGTCTGTCAGTCTTATAATGGAAGTGAATAGGAATCACGGCTTTGAGAGTCAAAAAAACATACACACTGAACAGTATATCGTTTTTTACCTCTGATTTTCACCGCAATGCTTGAACTGTCCAGAGCGCATCCTGAGCGGCCGGTGCCTGACGCGTCTTCTTCTTCTTCTTGCTTTATGGCGGATCGCAGACTAATAAGTGCATTACCGCCACCTATCTCTCAAATGGACCATTGACACTCTATCTACAATCTCAATTAGGAGTGGCAATGGTCCACTTCAGAGATAGGTAGCGGTAATGCACTTATAAGTCTGCGATCCGCCGTAAAGCAAGAAGAAGAAGAAGAC